ACCACCACCCTCTCTCGCCTCCCGCAAGCATTCCAACCCCCATATACATCAACTCTCTGGAATACCAAACTACCTCAGCTCCCGCCAGCAGCCCCTACCTGATCTCCTGCAAGCATTCCAAACCCAACGCCCCTCAACTTCTGCAACCTCTTCAGCTCCCGCCAGCAGCACCCCAAACCCAACCTACCTCATTTCACGCAAGCTTTCCTCACGCAAACCCACCCCAACTTCTGCAACCTCTGGAACCCACACTACCTCAGCTCCCGCCCCCATGGGGCTCTAAGAGCGGCCCCCTCCGTCGGAAGTCCACGGGCCCCTTTTGGACTCCCCCACAGGGGGGTCCGCCTCTGGGGGGCAGTTCTGGATGATCTCCTGCGCTCTCTTTGGGCCCCGTTGGGCCGCCTGAAGGAGCCCTCTTGGGGCACTGTTGGGCCACTCTTGGGTCCCTCTTGGGCCCCCAGGGGCGATCCACACCCAACCTACAACTTGTGCAACCTGTGGAAACCAAAACTACCGTAGCTTTAGCCAGCAGCCCCAAACCGAACCTACATCATATCCCACCTCTTCCAAGCCCAATCATCCTCAACTTAAACCCAAACTACACCGGCTCCCGCCAGCAGCCCCAAACCCAACCTACCTCATCTCACACGAGCCTTCCAAACCCAACCTACCTCAACTTGTGCAACCTCAAGACACCCACACTACACTGGCTCCCGCCAGCAGACCCAAACCCAACCTGCCTCATCCCACGCAAGCTTCCCAAACCCAACCTGCCTCAGTTTCTGTAACCTCTGCTAAACCAAACTATACCAGCTCCCGCCAGCAGCCCCGAACCCAACGCACTTCAACTTCTGCATCCCCTGGGAACCCGAACTACATCAGCTCCCGCCAGCAGCCCCAACCCCAACCTACCTCATTTCCGCACGCCTTCCAAACCCAACCTGCATCAACGCCTGCCACCTCTGGAACCCAAACTACATCAGCTCCCGCCAGCAGCCCCAACCCCAACCTACCTCATTTCCGCACGCCTTCCAAACCCAACCTGCATCAACGCCTGCCACCTCTGGAACCCAAACTACATCAGCTCCCGCGAGCAGCCCCAAACCCATCCTACATCATTTCCCGTCAGCCCAAGCCAGCAACCCCAAACCCAAGCCATCATCTCCCATAATCATTCCAAACCCAACCAACCTCAATTCTGCAACCTCTGGCAGCTCCCGCCAGCGGCCTAAAACGCAACCTACCTCATCTTCCGCAAGCCTTCCAAACCCAACGAGCAATCTCTGTAAACTCCAGAAAAAAAACTCAGCTCCCGCAAGCAGCCCCAAACCCAACCTACCTCATCTCACGCAAGCCCCCCCAAACCAAACGACCTCAACCCAAACTACTTGTTGGGGCTGTGGTACCTATGAGGCTTGAGGGACGTGGGACCTGTATAGGGCCTGTGGGACCAGTGGGACCCGTGGGGCCTCTAGGAGCGCTTGAGACCTTCCTCGCACGCCCATTGCACCAACCATCTCTTCTCTCGCAACAACCCAAAACCACCCCCCAAAAAAACACCCACACGCACGCCGATTACATTGCCACACGCGCACACGCCGCACACCCACACGCACCCCTCTCGAACAACCCACACGCACGCCGATTACATTACCAGAAAAACTGTTCACCAGCCCGCTGGGGGCCTCTCAAGGTACTCTCCGCAGTAGGGCTCCAAGAGGGGCCCCAGAAGGCTCCAAGAGGGCCCCAAGAGGAGCCCAATAACGCAGCATGGGGCGCGCGCGCTTCTGCCACTGGTGTTGCGGCCTCGTCGCACATCGTAGATTGCTTCTGGGCCCTCTTGGTCAGGCGTCTCACAGGTCTTTGCAGGGGCCTTTGCAATGTCGTTGCAGGGGTCTTTGCGGTGTATTGCAGGGGTATATGCAGTGTCTTCGTCTGGGGGAAACTATAGGGAGAAGGGACTATGATGAGTTGGAATAACGAACTCCGCTCATTTCCCTTCGCAAGGTCTTCATCGTCACTGACCCTGCTCGTCCGGGTGATCGCATCGAACTTGCTGCTGTCTTGAAGGGGGGGTATGTGATGTCCGCGCGGTTGCTATTGGAATCGAATGGGCCAGGTATCAAATACGCTGACACCCTACATACGCGCAGGAAGGTTTGGATCACTCCGGACTTTGAAGAGCGCCACAAAGCCTTTGCATCAATTCTCCGGGAGGCGCCTGTCAATGCCAAGGCCACTGGCGCCAAGGTCCACATGACGTTTCTCAAGTCTGACGCTGAGTTCGATGCTGCCAAGTCCAACGCGGTGACCGAGAAGCGGCCTACTTCTGTGCTTGGGATTGGGACTAAGAAAGAATGCAAGGCCTGATGTTCGAAACTCGTCGTCGTCGTCGTCGTCGTCGTCGTCCTCGAACCTCGGACATCGAACCTCGAACCTCGAACCTGGAACCTCAATCTGTTGCGAAGTCTTCGAGATGGTTTCCGGATGCCACTTGCACTTTCTCATCCCCTTCCTCCTGATCCTCCTTCCCACCCGCCTCTTCCTGCTCCCCCCTGCTCTTCCCTCCTGCTGCTCGTGCTCCCACTCCTCATCGCCCTGCTCCTTCTCGTCATCCTCTTCCTACTCTTCAGGCTTTCGCACCCCACTCGGGATACGAATGCTGCGATTCGACAATCGCCTTGCAGGCTGACCCCGCCAAGTTCACTAGCATCACCAATGCGATGCAACTCATGAAGCACATCGACCACGAGTGGACGACGATTGGCATTGCAGGCAAGTAGGCATTTTCGCGGGGATTTCACTGGTGGTGATTCAATTCACGGGTGGTGCTGGTATCACAAGCAGGGGTGATTGTGCACGTCCAGCGCAGTGTTCGATAGGTCCTCCTCCTCGTCCTCCTCCTCCTCAACCCCCTCCTTCTCCTCCTCCTCCCTCCTCCCTCCTCCTCCTCCTCCTCCTCCTCCTCTTCCTCCTCCTCCTCCTCCTCCTCCTCCTCCTATCTTTGTTGTTCCTTCTTCGGCCCTGCAGGGGCGATGTCAATCCTATGCTGTTCCTCCTCCCCTATCCTCCTCCTCCTCCTCCTCCTTCTTCTTCTTCCTGCTCCTCCTCCATCCGGACGGTGCTCCTCCGCCTTCGCCCTCTCGCGTGGCACCTCCCGGAGCTCCGCAGCAGGTGTAGGAGCATTTGCAGGGCCGCAAGAGGGGGCACGAGCAGGGGCAGGATGAGGAGGCGAAGGAATGAGGATAAGGAGGCAGCGGAGGAATGATGAATGAGGAATGAGTTGAGGTCAAAAATGCAGCTGATATATGATTGAGGTGGATGAGGATGAGGCCGACGTCGAGAGGAACTGATATATGATGAGGACGCGAGGATAATGATGATGATGATGATGATGATGATGATGATGATGATGATGATAATCATGATGATGATGCTCATGATGATGATGATGAGGAGGAGGAGGATGAGGAGGAGGAGGAGGATTCTGATGATGATGATGATGATGATGATGATGATGATGATGATCAGGAGGAGGAGGAGGAGGAGGAGGAGGAGGAGGAGGAGCATGATGTGATCATGTTTTTTGGCGGGGGGGGGGGCGATCGGGCATTCGACTTTTGATGAGGATGATGAGGATGATGAGGATTGACGATGACGATGAGGATGATGAGGATTGAGGGGGGGGAGGAGGGGGGGGAGGATGAAGAGGAGGATGAGGAGGACGAGGGGGAGGGGGAGGGGGAGGAGGAGGAGGAGGAGGAGGAGGAGGAGGAGGAGGAGGAGGAGGAGGAAGGAGGAGGAGGAGGAGGAGAAGTTTGAAGGAGGAGGAGGCGGAGGAGGAGGAGAAATACGAGGATGAGGGAGGGGGGGAAGGAGGATGAGGAGGATGATGAGGTGGGAGGGCGAGGAGGAGGCGGAGGAGGATGAGGAGGAGGATGAGGAGGATGAGGAGGATGAGGAGGAGGATTGGAGGAGGAGGCCACGCTGTAACGGGTGGGGCTCAGAAACCCCTCCCTTAGAGTGCCCATGCGCGCACATGGGCGCTGTATCCCCATTCGCGGGGTCACTCCGGGGCGGGCCATCCTGGGGCTACGGCGGTGCCAGGGGGACCTTGGAGTGCATTCGGCGGCGGGGCTCCAACACCGCGTCGCGCGCCCAGATGCTATAAGATGTGGGGCTCAGAGACCCCCCCCTTACAGCAGGGCGGCGGGCCCAAGAATCGTCGGTCATGGCTAACGCCTTGGGGTTATGGCACCCTGGGGCGCGCGGGAAGTCTGTAACCCCCCAAGAGTCCGAGACGACGACGACGACGACGACAACGACGACGGCGGCGACGGCGGCGACGGCGACGGCGACGGCGACGGCGACGGCGATGGCGACGACGACGACGACGACGATGACGACGACCCCCCCTTACAGCGAACCGGCGCGCCCGGAAGGTCTGTAACCCTAAGGTACGCGCCCGCCACCTTAGGGTCATAACTAAAGTTTTTCGACTAAAGTTCTCGGTGCCCGAGATTCCAGGTCATAACTAAAGTTGTCGGATTAAAGTTTTTGGACTAAAGTTTTAGGGATGTGCACGTCCAGTGGCGCAGTGTTCGATGTCCGAGGTCCTCCTCCTCCTCCTCCTCCTACTCCTCCTCCTCCTCCTCCCTCCTCCTGGTGCCCCTTCCCCCATTGCCATCCTCCCCTCCTGGTCGTTCTCCTCCTCCTCCTCCTCCTCTCTCCTACCTATGGTCTCTTAGGCCTCCCTCCCTCCTCCTACTCCCCCCTCCCCCCCTTGCGCCCGCATCCTCCTCCTGCCTCATCTATCTCCCTCCTCCGCCTCCTCCTCCTCCTCTTCCTCACCCTTCTTCACCTCATCCCCCCTTTTCCTTCTCCCTCTTTCCGCTTCCTCCTCGTCCTCCTCCTCCTCCCTCGACGTCATCCATCACCTGCTGCTGATGGTTCAAGCGATCTACGGCGAGTGGTCTTGACGGCCGCGAAGTTGTGCAGCGATGGTCAAGGCCGTCGTCAAGCGCAAGGCCGATGACCTGACGAGTACGGGGTTGGCGAAGATCAACGACGCCTATTACACCGCCCTCGGCAACGCCGTCAGCCGAGTTTTGCAGAGTGACGCGTTCAAGGATGTGCGAAGTAAAGCCCCCTTGACAATCACGCATGGAGGTTCACGAGAAGCTTTCAAGAAGGAGAGCTTCAGAACCGCCCTCAAGAAAGATGACTACGTGACATCGGGGAATGCTGCGTGGATCAACGAGATGTACAACCCGCTCCACGGCGTTCCGCTGAGTTCCACCAGCATCCAGAACATCGCGGACCACAACTACAGGACGCCCAGCTCCGTGGGTAACATCACCTTCGACATCGCAGCAGATTCTCACACTTGGAGTCCTGAGGAGCATAAGGGCGCCCTGAAGCTGGCAGGGCCGATGGAACCATTGCACGCGTTGTGGATCGCTGCCGACAGGGACATCCAAGCGAACCCCGAGGACACCGACCTTCATGGTGAGTGGGCCAAGGTTTTCCGGGGCGTGGGCTTTCGCTATGTCGTCATTTCAAACGACTTGGACGTGTTCCACCACCAGGAGAACGAGAAAGAGAAGTTAATCACCCTCGGCGACGCTGTCACGCCCAGTGGCCTGCAAAAGATCATGAAGATCGTGAATTACAAGATCCGGTACTTGCAGAAAGAGCAGAAGGACGACATACCAAATACAGAGCTGATGAGGTGGCTCAAGTCGAAGATTTCATTGTCTCCCAAGTCGGAGCAGTTCTCAGCTGACTACGTGAACCACGCCATCTCCACTTTCGACAACGCTATCTCCAACACTACGATTTTGGGACTTGTGTCGGAGTGCCAGAAGATGGGCACCGCCTCCCCTTTCGCTTTCATTTCTGGGATGCACATCATGGCCACCAAGAGCAAGGTCCATCCTGGCCTTCTCCTCCTCTTCCTCCTGCCTCGTCGTCCTCCTCCTCGTCGTCGTCGTCCTCCTCCTCCTCCTCCTCCTGCCTCCTCCTCCTCATCATCATCCTCCTCCTCCTCCTTCCCAACATGTTTCTATTGTAGTAGAAACATGCTGGCAGCACTGCCAGAGTGTTGTTACCCTCCTCCTCCTCCTCCTCCTCCTTCTCCTCCTCCTTACCCCCCTCCCGCTCACTCGTCGTCGTCGTCGTCGTCTTCGTTGCTTCTCCTCTTCTCCTCCCTCTCCCCCAGGTCCTGAGTGAGACCATTTGGATATTCGCCAGCGCTGTGGACTACGTGAAAATGGATTTCGCTGAAAAAAATGCCTTCGCCACGCGTCATCTCCAGCCAGAACGCGGCAACAAGAAAAGCATATTGGACCTCTTCCTCTTCAAGAAAACCGTCCGCGACTACCTGGTGGATGCGTGGATGTCGGCCAAGCCTTGGCCAAGCGAGATCAAGGCGCTCATCCGGGAGAAGACCAAGGACCACGGGGTATACCGAAAGATGGTCCGTGGGTATCCGGATGACCACTCCCCGAAGGATCACACTTGGAAGAAGGGCTTCTCCATCAGCGCGAAGCTCTTTTTTGATATGGTCGAGGGCGTCGCGTACGACAGGGAGTTTGACCCGTCACTCAATAATGCAGTAAAGAACCGAAAGAGCGCAGCCGAGGTACTCGAGTACACGCAGTTCAAGGAGAAGATCGCCGACATCGAGAAGCAGATCACCGACGAGGCAGTAGCGAAGGCGGCGATGGATAAGGGGGGCGTGGAGCCAGTCACCACGCCAGCGGGATCCACAGCGCAGGACGGCGTGAAGCTGGATGTGCCCAGCGTGGACTCCAAAGAGGTTGAGGATAAGGAGAAGTTCACCGACTACTGGCAGAAGTACGCGACGGAGTTCCTCAGGACCTACATCGCCCTCATCTCGGAGCCTCAGACGGAGGCGCAGCTGGCAGCTGCGTTGACGGCCTGCTCGGTGAGCCAGACCAGCGTTGGCGTGAAGGGCCAGGACTATGTGGCAGCGTTCTTCACAGCAGGGTTGTCATCAGAATCCATCGCTGATCCACACACGCGGGGTGCACCATTTCGCAAGGAGAGGCTGCTAAAATGTGGCAAGGCGTTCCTCGCAGCTCGGAGGGATTTACACCGGAGGAACTCGGGGAGCGACGATGAGGAGATAACCATCGGTCCCGGAGACGTTTTTATCGCGCTGGACAACCAGAAGCCTGGCAATTTGAGCAAGTTTACCGACTTCTTGAAAGACTCCCAGGGGAAGAAAGACCATCTTTTCAAGCGCAAGTTCATGCTGGTGTACGACTTCCACACCCTTAAGGCCCGCAGGCACCGTTCCAAAGGAATTGGCACCCTGAAGCAGGAGGAGACCATGATCGCAGTGACAAGCGGCGCAGCGTTGCAGGTCCCATCGAAGATGCACACCAAGTACCAGGGCCATAACAACGGGACGTGCATCGGGCCGATCAAGCTTGCGCCATTCAATGAGTGCTGGACGGTCAGCTTCGACGAGAAGAAAGCCATCTATGGAAAGTTGCGCCTACCAGTTGGGGGATCTGGTGACGACGACGGCGATGATGGCTGCGGCGACGGAGGCGATGGAGATGAGGTTCCCCCGACGATCGCGGAGTTCGAGGCCGCAGCTTCCTGCCTTTCGACGGATCCACCATTCGAGACCCCCAGCAAGAAGACCAAGGTTCGTGCGGGAGCTAACATCGAGCCCATGAGCTACTACAGCATGCCCGAGGAGTTCTTCGCCGATGTCATCGACGCCCTTTGCTTGAAAGATACATTCGACTTCACGCCAGGAGACGGGGCCAATGCCATGGCTCACCTCAGGAGCTGCCGCCAGATTCCCAGGAGCTACGTGGGCATCTGCTTCAACGACGTGCACCTCGAGAAGCTCGAAGCACACTTGATCAAGATGACGCTGAAAGCCTTCTGCACCTCGTCGGATCCGCTCTTCCATCCGCAGTACGCAGCTGGGTTGAAGAACCATGGTGAGGCGGCGGTGCTGGCGCCGACCAAGGGCCCCATTCTCAAGGTTCCCAAGGATTCCGGTGGTGGCGGGGGTCCCAAGGATCCCATCAAGGATACCAAGAAGAACAAGTCCGAGGACGACAAAAAGAAGAAGAAGAAGAAGTCCAAGAAGAAAAAGAGCTCGTCTTCTTCGTCGTCTTCGGAGTCGGGCGATTCGGCATGACGCCACTTGCCCAGGACTGGATTGAGCTATTTTTTTTGGGCCAGTGCGATGCTCAGTTCTTTTTGGCGCCCTGCTATGGGCTACCAGCGAGGACGAGGAGGAGGAGAGGACGAGGAGGAGGAGGAGGAGAAGGATGAGGAGGAGGAGGAGGGGGATGAGGATGAGGAGGATGAGGAGGAAGACGAGGACACGGAGGAGGGAGACGAGGACGAGGAGGAGGACGACGATGACGAGGAGGAGGAGGAGGACGATGATGATGATGATGATGATGAGGAGGAGGAGGAGGAGGAGGAGGCTCGAGGGTCGGAGGAGGAGGAGGACGTCGACGACGAGGAGGATGAGGAGGAGGAGGGTAATGATGCTGTGCTGGCCCCGCTCAAATGCCACGCTCTCGGCGCCTCCTGCAGCACGTGTCGTGCATTCGTTTCGGAAGCCAGCGAGGCCAAGTTGGTTCCGATTGTTGGCAGCCCTGCGCGCAGATTCTTCTCAGGCCTCAGCCCATTCGTTCACTCATGGGTTTCTCGTCTCTTGTTCGCCCGTCCCCGTCGCATATTACAGCGTTTCTCGCGCTGGTTCGTTTCTTCTGGCTTGTCGGCATGATTGGGTGATTCGTCGACTTGCAGCGACGCTGGATTTTTTGTCTCTGCCGATGGCATGGGATACAACGTGCACTCAGAGTGCCGGCGCAGAGGCTGGGCGGCACTCCAGCCCCTGGGGCATGAGGAGGAGTAAAACGAGGATGAGGAGGTAGTCGAGAGGGAGGAAGAGGAGGAGGGAGGCTATCTTACATCCCAGACGCGCGCTGTCTTTACACGTTGTTTTTTGGATACGCTGATTCGCTTCAGCAGAAGTTGCAGGAGAATGCATGTCATGTCCAAGCGTCACCGCCACGCAGTTTCCAATCCGTGCTGCGATTCTTTATTCATTGACGCTTTGATCAGAGAGTGTATCAGCATGCAGCGTAGCAGCATGCAGCGTAACTCAGAGGGCCCCAAGACGGGCTCCATGGGGACTCCATGAGGGGTCCCACGAGGGCTTGAGGGCTTTATCATGATATGGTTTGGGGCCCTCTTGGGGGCCTCTTGGAGCCGTCTTGGGGCCCTCTTGGGCCTTTCTTGGGACCCTCTTGGAGCCTTTTTAGGTCTATCTTGGAGCCCCCTGGCCCTGGCCGTCACCGGCACCAAGACTGACCACTCAGGGACAGTGTCGAGGCCTTAGGGTCTTAGGGCCTTAGAGTCTTAGGGTTTTAGGGTCTTAGGTCGTGTCTTGCGGTCTCAGGGTCTGAGGGTCTCAGGGTTGTCCGAATGACGCGCGACTACACAACATCAAGCATACCAACAACATCAACAAACGTCAAACATCAAAGAACAAACATACAACATCAAATAACAAATACACCACACAGCATCATCAAACAATAACATCATACATCAAATAGCAAACATACCACATCATGACAACACCACCACGAATCGTCAAACAAACCACAACAAACATACTCAACAGGCAAACGAGCAAAGCGAAACACACATAGTACCATTATACAAGGCATGCGCTTAAACGCAAAGAGCCAAACACTGAAACCGACGGGCAATTTGAACATAGATCTCACGCGCCTAGAGAGGGGTCGGCAGAGTTCGCTATGTAGCGCAGCCCGATCCCAGCCAGCCCAGCATTCTGGCATCCTTGCCTGATGAGGTTAGCTAATACATGTTGCTATTATAGCGCAGCCCGATCCGAGCCCCCCCTGGCACTCTGGCAGCCTTGTCTTATCTCTACAAACAGTCAATGCAAAAGCATCCTTACCCATCCAGGGAATCCAGGAAATCCAAGGAATGCATCCTTACCCATCCGTCGCCAATTAGACTCAAGCCATTTTGCAACAATGTCGCTCTGGGACGACCCGCGTGCAGGGAGATTCCTTCCGATATGGAACCCTGTCACGCAATGTCTCAACTATCCTTGGTTCGACGGGGACAATATTGACTGGCTCCCTGCTCACTTGTGGTTACACCGCCACAACAACAGAGAGCTGTTCGGCCGCTCGCGGTACATCAAGACGCCCACCCCAGAGCAACAGGACGACGACGACGTCGTCCACGGCACGGACGGCGCGGAGGCGGCCGACGAGGAGGACGTGGACATGGCGGGCAGTGCAGAGAAGCAAGCGGCAAGCGACGACGCCACCAGCAACATCGCCGCAGACCAGCCGGCCACCATCGGCGACATGACGGGTAACGCCGACGACGCGGGCCACGACACGGGCGGCGCGGAGGCGGCCGACAGCCTTCACGTGGACACGGCGGGTAGCGCCGCAGAGCAGGTGGCAAGCGACGACGACGCCAGCATCATCATGTCTCCAGACAGCGCTGCAGATCCAGCGGCCGTTGTCGCGGCCATCGTCGGCGACGCGACGGGCAACGCCGAGCGCAACGACGCGGGCCACGACGGGAAGGGCTGCGCGGAGGCTGCCGGCGAGGAGGCCGACGTCGACGAGCTGATCACCCCTAGCGGCGACAGAGACCACGCCAGCGCTGGCAGCGAGGAGGGCAGGCTTCTGACTGAGCCCATGCCTCTTCTGAAGCGTCCGCGGCAGTAGGCAAAAAGCCCGAGGAGGTAGTATCCTTGGTCGACGGCCCCCATAAGGCTCCCAGGAGACCCCCAAGAGGCCTCAAGAATATCCCAGAGGCAACTGAGACCATCAAAAACGGCCCTGACTTCCCTGGTCACCTCAACTCGCCTTGGCGTCGTTTCTGGATGGGCTGGTGGGGATACGCGAAGCGTCAAGAATAACTGACGGGACACTGTGTACAACTGCCTGCCACAACTACCTGGGATCAAACACTTGACCGTTGCTGACTCCACCGTCGTCGTCGTCGTCGTCGTTACGTCGTCGTCGTCGTCGTCGTCTGGGCGCCTCTTGGGGAGTCTTGGGGCGCTCTTGGGGGCTTTCGAAGCGCTCTTGGAACTGGGCTCTCTTGGGGCCGTCTCGGGGCTCTATTGGGCCCCTCTTGGGGCTGGGCCATCTTGAAGCCCATCTTGAGGTCCAAGCATCAAGTTTTTGAAGGGTGTGGGCATCTTGGGGGGCCTCCTTGAGGGTTTCGAGGGCCTCTTGGAGCCGTCTTGGAACGTTCTTGGGGCCTCTTGGACCAGCCAGGGGGCCATTTTGAAGCATACTGCGCTATCTTGAGCCATCTTGGAAGCCATCTTGAGCTCTCCGAGCCTCTCTTGGAGCCATCTTGGACGCTCAAACGCGCCCCCCCCCCCTGTTCCAAGTCCAGGTAAACCCCTCCCCGAAGGGGAAGGGGGTTGGCTGGTGGGATTCCCCGACTTTGCGAGCAGTCTCCCGCATCCGATGCGCAGGCGCTTCACTCGCCATTGCATCTGCTGGTGGGGATACAACTCTGCTGGTGGGGATACAATAAGTAGCCAAGAAGTGTCCTCGATCCTATCCGTCGAGGGCCCACAATCGACCCATCCAGCGTTGCGTTTGCACAAGAATTCGATGGCGGATGAAGCCATGGCCAAAAACATCGAAGGTCGACGCTCGAAGCTTCAACCTCGATTGAAACAAAACGCGTACACGTCTTCGTCGTCGTCGTCGTCACCCCCCTCCGTCTGTGGCCCCCGACTGCCCGGCCAAGGGGGGGCCAGGCGGAGGGGGGGGCGGACTTTTATGGGAGGGGCGGGGGTGGGGATCGAGGAGGAGGGAGGAGGACGGGAAGGACGACGACGCCGACGACGACGACGACGACGACTGGCCTGCTATGTTCCCACGCTTCGCGTAGCATGGCCTGATTCTTGGGGTTCGAACCTCCATTGGACGTTTTTCCGCCTTTTTGTTCCTGGAGGATCGCCGTCGCCACGGCCGGATCCGCCTGGAGATTCTGGCGCGGGCACACCCCTGGATGGATTTGGAGTCGACTTTCGGCCCCTGGGCCCGGCAGCGGCCGCAGTGGACGACAGCGGCGGCCTGGCGAGGCTTCGACGAGCGCTGTCGGCTGCTGGCTCCAAGCAGATTCGGGCGGTGGGTGAGTGGTGGGTGGGTGGTGGGTGGGTAGTGGGTGGGTTGTGAGAGCGGGAGGTGGGTGGTGGTTGAGTAGGTGGGTAGTGTATGCTGGGTGGTGGGTGGGTGGTGGATTAGTGGTGGGTGAGTGGTGGGTGATGGTGGGTGGGGTGGTGGGTGGTGGGTGGGAGGTGGATGGTGGGTGGGTGGGTGGTGGTGGGTGGGTGGGTGGTTGGTAGGTGGGTGGTGGGTGGTTGGTGGGTGGGTGGGTGGACGGTGGGTGGTGTATGGCTGCTTGGTGGGTGCGGGAGTGGTGGGTTGGTGTGGGGTGGGTGGTGGGTGGTGCAGGGGTGTGTGATGGGTGGTGGGTGGGTGTTGTGTGGGTGTTGGGTGGGTGTTGGGTGGGTGGTGATTGGGGTGGTCCCTGGGTGGAGGGTGGTGGGTGGTCGGTGGATGGGTGGTGAGCGGGGGTCGGTGGGTGGGCGGTGGTGGGTTGGTGGTGGGTGGGTGGTGGGTGTGGATGGTTGATGGGTGGTGGGTGAGTGGTGGGTGGGTGGTTTGGAGCTGGTGAATGGTGGTTGTGTGGGTGGGTGGGGGGTGGATGGTGGATGGGTTGTGGGCGGGTGGTGGCTCGGTGGCAAGTGGGCGGTTCGGGCGGTGGGTGGGTGGCGGGTGGGTGTTGTATGGGTGGTGGGAGCCTGGTGGGTGGGTGGTGGGTGGGTGGTGGGTGGGTATGTGGGTGGGTGGTGGGTGGTGGGTTGTGGGTGGGTGGTGGGGGATACGTTGATAGTTGGCGGGTGTTGGGTGGGTGGTGGGTCGGTGGTGGAGGGTGGATGTGACATGTATGGTGGGTGGGTGGTGGGTGGGTGGTGTGGAGCCAGTAGTGGTGGGTTGTGGGTGTGTGGTGGGTCAGGGGTTGGAGGGTGGTGAATGGGTGGTGAGTGGGTGGGTGGGTGTTGGGTGGTTGTTGGGTGTGTGCAGTGGTGGGTGGTGGGTTGGTATGGGGTGGGTGGTGGGTGGGTGGGGGGTGGGTGGTGGTTGGGTGGTGGGTGGTCGGTGGTGGGTGGGAGGTGGGTGTGTAGTGGTTGGTGGGTTGGTGGGTTGTAAGCGGTAGGTGTGTGGTAGGTGGGGGGTGGTGGGTGGTTGGGGGTGGGCGGTGGGGTGGGTGATGGGTTGGTGGTGGGCGGGTGGTGGGTGGGTGATGGCTTGCAGGTGGGCGGGTGGTTTTTGCCCACGCCGTCCCCTGACTCTTAGCTGCCAAGTGCGTGGTGCTACGCAGTGAGAGGAACATTGAATAACTTTGCTAGACTACAAGGTATATTCGTCCTGACACACATAAGGCATCAACTGATTATGTTTTTTCTGTGGTTTAATGGTATAAGTTTTTCGCGTGGTTTAACGACTGTCTCTGCCCTCATATTTTCACGACTGTCCCCCTCATGGTTGCACGACTGTCCCCCACATGGGGTTTCACAAATGCCTCCCCCCCCCTCATGGTTCCGTGGACAACCCAAACCCAAACCCAAACCCGTCCTACATCAACTTCTGTACTGGAAGCCCAAACTACCCTGTGGGGGCTGTGGTGCCCGTGAGACTTGTGGGACCTGTGGGGCTTGTTGGACTTGCGAGCCCTGTAGGACGTGTGGGACCTGTTGGGTCCGCGGGGCCGAAGGACCGCCTGGAACTTCCTCGCAATACACACCTAAATGAGGCTCCCCAAAAAAAAACATGCACCTCAAAACAAACAAAACAATCCCAAGCCAGAAAACCACACACGCCCATACAATATATGTCATTAAATTGTTCAGGGGACTAATGATGTAATAGTAACCGTCTTAACAATATATTGAGCAATTAAGGAGCCTATCTTGGAGCATCGGGAACCCTCCTGGAGCCAGCCTGGGCGAAAGAAGCCCCTGGGGGGGAGAGGGCTGGTACCCTTGCCCGAAGGGAAGAGGGTCTTGGTAAGAGAAAAGAAAGATATCGCTAGCATGGTTATATTGTATCGACAATGCATTGTAAGGTGCACGTGTTAGTGCAGACGCACGAGAGCACGGCACAGTGGGTGACATCAGACACAATCATCAACAGGAGCGGCACCACCAGCAGCGCGATCAGCAACCCATAGCAAGAGCAGCACCAGCACCAGCATGACAAGCACCAGTAAGTGGTGTCGTTGGCTCAAGCCTGGGCCACCGACCGATTGCAGCGCAGGTTCCCTGACGCTGGATCCCGAATCTCAGTGATGGACCTCGACGAGCTCCTGCCGGACGAGGTGCCTCAGCCCAAGCCCCAGCCCAAGCGTCAGCCCCAGTCCAAGCTGGTGAAGCCGAAGGCAAAACCCAAGCCCCAGCCCAAGCGTCAGCCCCAGTCCAAGAAGTCTACCTCGTCGGAGAAGCCTTCGACAAACAAACCCGTCAAGAAGACTACTGACAAGAAGAATACCGACAAGAAGAAGAATACCGACAAGAAGAAGGCCGTCAAGAAGGCCGTCAAGAAGAATACCGACAAGAAGAAGAAAAGCAGACGTGATCCGTCACCGTGCTCGTCTTCTTCATCCTCCGAGGGGGCCGTGCTCTTGCGCCTGGGGACGTTCTTCAGCGGGCTGGAAACTCCATCGGTCGCCTTGAACCAGATCGGCCTGCCACACAAGTTAGAGTTTGCGATTGAGCTAGAGGACTGCCTGCGGACCCTCATCTACCAGACGTGGCACCCCACGGAGCTGCACTCGGATGTGAATTCTGTCGACATGAAGGCTTTGCCCGACGTCGACATCGCTGTTGGGGGAGCTCCGTGCCAGCCATTTGCCAAGGGTGGCTCATTGAAAGGCATGGAGGATCCACGGGGGCGTCTCGTCTACAAGATGGTCGAGTACGTGGGGGCCAAGGCCAAGGCTAATCTTCCATTGCCGCGCGCCCTCCTCATGGAGCAGTCCAAGACCTTGAAGAACAAGTGGAGCGACGTTTACGACAACATCAAATCTCGTCTTACCAAGCTAGGCTACCGCTTCAAGTCGACCTTCGTCAATACCAACCTCCATGGAATACCCCAATCACGCGAACGGCTTTACATGGTGGCCTACTTCAAGGTGCACAAGTTCCACTTTCCCGAGGAGTTGAAGACAACCATTCCCATTGAGAAGATGTTGCACCCGATGTGGCAGACCGACTTGAAGACCACGCTTGTCCCAACAAACGCAGTGGCGCGGATTGACCAGGCCCGCAAGGAAGCGGCGGACAGCGGCTACAACCCCGACGTCGACACCGTCTTCGTCGACCTAGACTCGTCAGAGCGTTTCTGGAGTTGGAAGGTTGATGAGAGCATGACGTTGACGAGAAGGCGATGTGAGGGTGGCGGCTGGTTCATGACGAACCGCGGTCGCCGGCAGACTGTCCGTGAGATGCTCGCGATGCAAGGGATCGTCCCGCGTAGTCTGGGGGACACAACTTGCATGTCTAGGACGGCGCTGCTGTCTGCGATCGGCAATGCCATGTCAGTCAACGTACTGGAGCGGATCCTGCCCCGCATCGCCTGGTCCATCGGTAAGCTGCCCCAGAAGATGCACGACGTCTGGGATGATGAGTCCTGGGCGCTGAGGGGAGGCCGTTTCAATGACGAGTCATCGTGGTTTCTCTGAGTGAGGGCTGGCGATTCCAATATGTTGCTAGGGTAGTGGCTAAGTACAGGAGGAAGTATGCATAAAATTTACAGCTCTAGCAATTTGATTGGGAGTTGCGCGTGGCTGAGGCTAGCGCGAGGCTGAGACCTCCCTGCCTCTGCGAACAAAGGCTTAGCGACGGACCAGGGCGAAAATCAACGCGGCTTCCGCCTAGTACCGCCAACCCTGCCTTGTTGCGTTTTGCTGGGCTTGGCTTGTGGTGCCTCTGTGGCGGGGTGGAGTCTCGGGCCCTCTGGCTGCGCGCGAGGCCCTGCTGGGCCTGGGGGGCTTCGGCTTGAAAATTGTTCCGGAGCGTGTTGGGTTTTAGGATTCTTGGGCCATGCACTGGGCATTCTGGGCACGTCGAGGCTTCGAGCCAAGGGGAGGCCCCGTAACCGCATAAGCATGCAGCACGACGGCCAGCAACACGTGCAGGAGCCAACATCCACATCACGAATGGCAAACGTAGCAACGCAACAGTCAGACTCAGCAGTTGTCGCGGAAAGTCGTGGTGGTATGCGTATACGGCGTATAAAGACGCATAACAGACACATGCACGTATACAACCTCATATCCATAAGCAATTGCAGCATGCGCGCAATCACGGAAACCCATGAATGCGTATACACGTACATACGTGGATGCATACCCGTGCGGATTCCTAACATACACGTTCACATATATACCCACATGGGCACACACGTCAAACGCATGCATGGATCTATGGAGCGATACACATACGCGTATGCATACATGCACATGATCTCGCTATCGCACATATAGGCGTACATATATGTAAATGCCCAACCCTACACGAACGCGGGCATGTATGCACACCCTGGCTATACTTTGTATATGCTGATCGGTTCGCACTCGCGAACGTACACATAAACGTATACACGCATATACGTGTACTATCCGTACATGTACATGTGTGCAGGGTTACAAAACAGTGTTCGGGCATACGTCGACTCCAATGCATACGCATCATCAAATTCTATCAAATTCTGGCATGTATATATATGCATAGTTGCACGAGTAACTACATGTATACACGCGCATCTATACATACATGTATTTCTGTGTCTACGTATATATATATATATATGTTTGTATAGATACGTGTGCGTAAACATAGCTGTAAATACATATATGTGATATATATCTAAATATGTATGGTTGTATATATGTATGTATGTATGCATGTATGTATGTATGTATGTATGTATGTATGTATGTATGCGTACACATACATGCATACACATATATATGTATATATATATATATACATATATATATAAGAGAGAGAGAGAGAGAGAGAGAGAGAGAGAGTGTGCCAGCGAGAGGGACATATACAAGTACATACAGAGACAGAGACATATGCATAGACAGAGACAGAGATGGAGGACGAGGGGGAGGAGTCCATGAGCCGACGGGGAGAGCGAAAAACGCTAAACTTTAGCTATGCCCTGGCAAGGGCCTCGGCGACGCTGACCCGGTCTACGTTCAGGCCTCCGGGGACGTCGAGGCCGCCAGCCGCCGTGCGCGTCGCCGGGCCGCCGCTGCCCTCGGGCCCGGGCGCGCCCGCTCGGCGCGCGGCGGCTCAGGCGAGGGGCCCGCGGCGGCGTCCTGCCGCGGCGAGCCCGCCCGCCAAGAGGCGGCGTCGGGTGGCGGCGACTGCGGCGGCGGCGGCGCGGCGGCGCTCCGCTGCCGTGCAGCTGCCGGGCCTGAGCGTGCTGGAGACGGGGTCGATCACGGCGGCGACGCGGGCGCAGTACGTGGAGGCCTTCGACGGCTTCCAGGCTTGGATGGCACGGCGGGGCGTGCAGCCCACGACGCTGGACGACTACGACGAGCAGCTGGTCCTCCGCCTGGACGAGCTCTACCTGGACGGCGAGGGGATCGGGGCCGGGCAGAAGCTCTTCGCGTCGGTGCTCTTCTTCCTGGGGCTGACGAAGGCGGCGGGCTCGCCGATGGCGCGAGCGCGGCGGGCGCTGCGCGGGTTCCGTCGGCTGGCGCCGCCTACCTCGCGGCTCCCGCTCCCCTTCGAGTTGCTGGGCGCGCTGGTGAACTACCTCGTGAGCGTCTCGAAGCTCGAGGCGGCACTCGTGCTGTGGCTGAGCTTCGAGCTGTACCTGCGCCCAAGCGAGCCGTACCACATCCGGGCCACCGACTTGGTTCGCCCGGCTCGCGGCCGCCTGGGGCACGACAGCTGGAGCGTGACTCTGCGCGCCGCCGAGACGGAGGTGCTCTCGAAGACCGCCGAGTACGACGAGGCGCTGAAGCTGGACCTGCCGCGGCAGGAGCTGCTGGGCCCGGCGCTGGAGGCTTCAGTGGCCGCGCGGCTCGGCCCCGACTGGCGGCGGCCTCGCCCCGCGGCAGCGCGCGGCGCCGCCGCGGGCGGCCGCGCGAGCGGCGCGGCCCCGGAGCCTCTGCTGTTCGTGATCACGCAGCGCGAGGTCTCGAGCGCCCTCTCGGCCGCCGCCAGGGCCCTCGGGGTCGAGAAGTTCCTGCCCGGCCTGCGCCCCTACATGCTCAGGCACGGGGGCGCGTCTCACGACTACGGCAGCAAGGCCAGGTCCCTCGTCGACGTCCAGCGCAGAGGCCGGTGGCAGTCGTGGCATTCGGTCCGCCGATACGAGAAAGGCGCTCGCCTGTCGCAGGTGCTGCAGATGGTGCCCGCTGCGATGCAGGACCACGCAGCGCGGTGCGCCGACTCGCTCGGCGCGATCGTGTCTGGCCGGCGCTGCCCATTTACGCCTCCCTGAAGACCCGCTTCTTCCTGGAGGTGTTCAGCGGGTCCGGGCGCCTGGGACGGGCGATCGCCGCTGAAGGGCTGCCCGTCCTGCTTTGGGACATTTGCCTGGGCCCCGAGTATGACCTGCTGAGCCCGCAGAAGCGTGGGCTGATTCGGCCCTGGGTTCGAAGCGGCCTCGTGATTGGCATCCACCTCGGGACGCCCTGCAACACGTGGAGCCGCGCGCGGGACATCCCGCCCGGACCGATGCCGCTGCGAAGTGACGCCTTCCCTCTTGGCCTGCCCGACTTGAGCGTCAAAGATCAGGCCAAAGTTGATGCAGGCAACGTTTTCATGATTTTCAGCGCTGGCCTCATGCACGAGGCCATCAGGGCCAACATCCCAGCTAGTAATGAGAATCCTCAGACGAGCCGACTTTGGCTCGCCCCTCCTTTCGTCCGCCTGCTGCGCTCGTCGGCCGTCACTTTCACTGTCACGCATTTCTGTCAGTGGGGAGCGCCGTGGCGAAAAGCCACGGCTTTCGCCACAGTCAACCTCGATATGAGTCGCATCGGTCGTGCGCTGTGCAAGTCTTCCAAGAGAGGAGTCTGTTCCCGCACTGGCCTGCCGCACGCCCAGCTGCATGGAAAAAACGTGGAGCGCGTCTTTGAAACCAAGCTGGCCGAGGCTTACCCTCAGCGGTTGTGCAGCGCCCTCGCCCAAGCCTATAGTAATGCCGTAATATCTCACAGGACTCGTGTTTTTGAGCGGCTGGTCCTACCAGCCAGTTGACATCTTTGGATCGAGTTTCGGGAGTGCATGCAGTGTGTTTCGTCTCATCTGTTGCGTCTCCGGCTTGAGAGTGTGGCCGCCTCTGCAGAGCATCAGATTCGTCCCACACCACGCCTTGCTGGCCATGGAGAAAGAGCAAGGCCCAGAGATGCGTTGTACTTGTACGGAAATCTCGGCACGCGTTTCGGTGAAGGCCGCTCGTCCTGAGGTCCTCGTTTGCCTCTGGTCTCATCCGTCAACACGGTGGCTCAAAGCAACCAACCGTCCAGCCCCGACCACCGCCCTGTTTTTGTTTCTCATCCTCTCGGCTGCCTGAAGGGCCGCTTTCGATCAGGAGTGCATGCAGTGTGTTTCGTCTCATCTGTTGCGTCTCCGGCTTGAGAGTGTGGCCGCCTCTGCAGAGCATCAGATTCGTCCCACACCACGCCTTGCTGGCCATGGAGAAAGAGCAAGGCCCAGATATTTATATATATATATATATATAGGTAGACGCGTCTGATACACACGCTAACGATGTACATACATATCGTTTGGCAAATGAGTTTCTATGCACGCGCGCGCGTTCAGGCCCAAGATGGAGGCCCGCAGCGTAGTGGTCACGTGGCTCGCGCCGCCAATACGCTTGTGGAGCACGTGGGCGGACGTCTATGTCCACGTGATTCTGAACGTCCCCCGCCCGTTGCCGCCGCCACCCTCGGAGACAGAGCTTCGGCCTCAGTTGCTGTCGATCGTACTATGAGTGGTAATGTGTTGTTTTTGATCGTTCCGGGGTTTCCATATATAAAAACTGCGGCGATCGATCGACCTTTCGCTGTGGATCGATCGCCCCCCTCAATGTGATAAGGCTGGGCGACGACCCCGAGTGGGTCACTTCGAGCGAGCCCGATGACGGGGACAGCGACATTCAGTACGTCGACAGCGACTGAGGCCTGGGAGGGGGGAGTTTGCCAGTGCCTCGCGCGCCCTCCAGCCTCGAGGCCGCCCCCGCGCGGCCAAGCCGCCGCGCACCGCCCTCTTCGTCTCCACCCTTTCCCTCGCCTGTCCCTCGCCTGTCCCTCGCCTTTCCCTCTTCGTTTATGCACCCTGGCCTTTCCCTCTTCCTCGCGGGGGCGCAGCTCGCCATGGCGAGCGGGTCCGCGGGATGGCCAGGATGGCACCCGCCGTGCCCTGCGATCGAGGACATGCCTCGCGGCAAGGCATGCCCTCATACCCTCCTTTTCCTTCCTCCTAAGACGGATCCTGTTCTGACCGGATCTTGCGCGCATGCCCTCTACATCTCTATAGCGTTGGTAAGTTAACAAACATACTTGTTTGTAATGCTATATATATATATATATATGTGTAGATATACTTGTATGCAACGCTGTATGTAATGCTGTTCATATATACTATCATTACCTGTATCTCTCTCTCTTTCTCTCCCCCCTCCTTCGGTCTGCATGGGCATCGACGCCGCCGACTTGATTGCCATAACCCGTCTACAGAACGCCATGCAGGAAGACTTGCGGAAATACCGCTTTGAGGTCCTCATCCTCCTCCATCTTCCTTCCTTCAACTGCTCTCCCCGACTCCTATAGATGAAGCCCGTTGCCATCACCGGCTATATTCCGTGGACCATCGATCAGACGTCTTGGGATGACAAGTGCAGCAAACTGAAGTTCATGGCTAAAAACACGTTCGTTGCACGGTACCGCCACTTCTCCAAACTTGTCAGTTGGTTCGACCTCGGCGCGGCAGACCGAGTCGAGGACTGTCTATCATTCTCATCAATCCTCCTCCTACCCCTTCTCGTACATCGAGCGTGCGCCCCTCCTCTTCATCCTCCTGGAATGCAGGGCGAGCGTGCGTTCCGAGCTAATGATCAATATCCTCGAGAGTACGTTCGACTCGCAGCCGCATTCGATGACATCGGCGAAGACGTCGAGATCGGCGCTTCCGAGCTGAAGCCATACGTGCACGAGGAGGGGGAGGAAGAGGAACCAGAGGAGGCGAGATATCGGGAGTGAACCTCTCCCCCATCGAGCTCCTCCTCCTCCTCTTGCATCCTCCTCTTCCCCCGCCTCCCCATCTTCTGGCACCGTTGCCGCCCCCCGCAAGGCCGACAAGTTCGAGCGCCAGCCGTGCGCCCGCGTGGACCCTGCGACGTCGGCCACGGCGAGCCGTGGGGGTGAGGGCACGGGGATGTTTTTGGATGAGTAGGTGAATGGTATGATGCAGGGGAGAGGCTGGTGGAATCACGATCCCGATCCTCAGATCTCCCACTCGAGGGGCATATCCGATGAGGAGGGGGGGGGGGGGGGCGAGCCGCGCTGGCGCCGGGCGATCGTCGGGCTCGAGGACGCCCCCATGCTGATGGGCGCGAATGGGGTTCAAGAAGGATGAGGAGTACAGCTGGAGGATACGAGGAGCAGGATCAGGAGGATGATGCGATTGATGAGGAAGTTGTGAAGGTAAACAGAGGAGGCTACAGTAACATATAGGAAGATGAGGGCGACGAGTAGGAGGAGGATGGGTGAGGAGTAGAATGAACGAGGAGGAAGAGGAGGAGGAAGAGGAGGAGGCTGCAGCCGACTTGATTGCTCGCTTATTCTCTTTGTCGCTCTTGCTGTTCCTCATGTTCACACCTCCTCCTGCTTCTCTGCATCGGTCCTCCTCCTCCTCATCATCCTCCGCCTTCGTCTCACCGCTCAACGTCCCCGCGTTCCTCGTCGCGTTCCTCCTCCTCCAGTACGCGGTCCGCCCCACCGCCCAGGCAGTGACGTCATCGTGGACTTCTCGAGCTACACGCCCGAGTACCAGTCGCGCCCGAACCCGGGGTTTTTGAAGGCGCGATGAGGGGACTACGTTGAAACCGACGACGACACAGATGACGAAGATGACGATCGACGATGACGACGGCGACGACGACGACGACAAAGATGACGACGGCGACGGCGGCGGCGACGACGACGAAGAGGACGATAAGGAGGGTAAGGAGGCTGAGGATAAGGAGGCTGGCAGGAGGAGGATCGAGGATAAGGATCATGATCGAGGATGACAGGAGGATCGAGGATCGAGGAGGAGGATCGAGGCTGATAGGATCGGAATGATGCTCGAGGATAAGGATCGAGGCTGACAGGAGGAGGATCGAGACAGAGCAGCTCGTCTCGATTCGTGTGATCGTTGGCGGCGTAGTCGACTCGGTCGCACCCTCCAACACGCCCTAGCCCCCCTCACCCGCTGTTACCTTTTATGAAGTTTCCCGCTGTGGTTCAGGATATCCTAGGGTGCACCCCTGTGATCGCAGCTTGTCCTGTTCACATTCTCGAGCCTAGAGAGCGACCAGTATCGTCTTATTCCTCCTCCTCCTCCCGTTCTGTCGATTCTGACACGCCCACCAGGCGTGGGAACCGACGTGCAAGCAGCTCCACGGCATCGGCGAGGGCAAACGCTTCAGCCAGAAGACGATGCAGGCTGCGACCGACTTACGATTTCAGGATGATGAGGAGACGGATGAGATGAGGAGGGAGAGGAGGAGGCTCGAGGAGGGTAGAGGCTCCGAGGGAGGAGGAGGAGGAGGAGGAGGAGGAGGAGGAGGAGGAGGAGGAGGAGAGGAAGGCAGCGGTACGTATACGCTGGAGGAGGGAGTAGGCGGTAGAAACAGGAGGAGGCAACGGTGAGGGAGGCGTAATCTAAGTCAAGAGAGAGGAGGGGGTGCAAGGAGGACGAGGACGAGGAGGAGGAAGGAAGACGGGATGGAGGACGAGAGGAGTATGGGCTAGCCACCCCCATCACTTAGAAGGCGGCATGGAGCATCGCGTTCGAGGATGACGTTCACAAGTTCTTGCGCGAGCAGGACCCCAGGAAGAGGAAGCCCGCTTCGAAGGTGGTTGCAGGGCACATGTACCACGGGTTAAGGGACTGGGCGAAGACAACTTGAGGAGGAACCGCCCCTATACAGGGGCGGTTCCTCCTCAAGCATACACGCTTGCTGCTGCCCACCTCCCCCCGCGCTTGCTCTATAAAGCAAGCGCGGGAGGAGGCGGGGGAAGGATTAAGCCAGACAGTGTTACTCTTTGATCCAGTCGTCCCCTTCCCTCGTCCCCCTTAGTCATGCTCCCTCCCATTGTCCCTCCATCCTCCTGTCGTGTCTCTCCGTTCTCCTCCCCTCCCTCTCACTTCGATTGATCCTCCCGATCTCCATTCCGTCGACCTCGAGGGGGGGGCTCGATCAGCCTGCCTGCCGCAAAAGGTACATACAGGCTCGGAGCATTCGGCGAATCCACGCGCATTGGCAGCGCATCAACGGCATCGACACACAGCCCTGTCGCGAGGAGCTCCAGGACCCTCTAGGGAGAACTGAAGAGCGTCGAACTTGGGGCAGGAGTTACCCATCTGATCGACATCCTTATTACATTCAAGAGGGCGTCGAAAGTTAAGGTAGCGTGGGCGCGGGGTAGGGGCCCATCCCTACCCCGCGTCCTGGCAACTTTAGCTTACGACGCCATCGATTTAATGTCATGCGGCCCCTTCCCCTCCTTCTCATCAACGTCTGCCGCTTCCCAGTAGGAGAGCGCCGGCCGCCAGATCGACGCGCCCATGGAGGGCGACGACGAGATCTACGAGGAGGAGCAGTTCAGGAACCTGCTTCGGCAGGTTCCCTCCATCCTCTCCCTCCTCAGCTTCCTTCTCATCCTTCTCATCCCCCTCGTCCTCCTCACCCTCCTCATCCTCTAGAAAGTCGAAAGCCGCGTCCTTCTATTCTCCATCCTGCCCGCATCCTCATCCTCCTGCTCCTGCCCCCCCCTCGATCCCTCGCGCATCCTATCTCCCTGCGTCCGGCTTTCCTGCTCAGTCACCGTTTCTTTCGCACCTCCCTCCCCTCGACCCCCTGGCCCCCCTCCTCTGATCAGACCCCCTATCCTCTTCGCTGACCCTTCGCTTGCCAGGTACAAGCGGGCGCGGTGGATCTGTGCGACGA